CCCGGCCCTGCCCGCCGGTCCGGGCTCGGCCGCGGCCTGGCCCTCCCGGCCCCCCTGCCCCGCTTAGGCCGCGGCCTGGCCCGGCGCGGGGAGCGGGCGGCGGCGGTTCCCCTTTCCCTCCTACCCCCGGGACGGGACCTGCGGGCACCGGGGGTGGGAGTGCGGGCCGCCCCCCCGCCGCGGGTCCCGGCTGATGTCTGTCTCTCCCCTCCTCCCGCAGTCAGTCGGATGAACGGTCTCTGCAGGCCCGCTCAGCCGGCCCAGGTTTTTCCCGCGGGGGGGTGAGTATCCCGCTCGCTCCCGGTCCTACCGGCGCGGGGGGGGGGGGGGCCCGAGGCTGCCCGCGCCGTGGTTGTCCCCCTCCCCCGTGTGACAATTCCCACCCTGTTTTTTGGGGTGATCAGTGCCAAGGCCAAGCTCGGGTGGCCCAGGGCCTGTGTCCCGGGGCTGGACAGGCCGGGCCCTCGGTGCCCGGGTGGGCAGGAGAGTGGGGGATGCGGCCCAGCCCCCTCCACCTCTGAACCCCCGGCAGCTTGTCCTTGCTGAGGGGACCCCCGCGGTGGGTCTGTGGGACCCTCCCCATGCCAGGCTACAGCCCGGGAGGGGGTCAGGACACCCCAAGGGTGCCGGTCTGGCCCGGGGGGGTGGGACGTGCCTGGCAGCGCTGACATGGCCAGGCGTCAGGTTGTGGGGGGCACCGCGGGTGTCCCTCACCGGGTGGGGGGCACCGCCTCTCTTTCCTGCCCCGGTGGCCTTTGCACTGGGGCGGGGAGAATGGCACCGGCTGCCAAGTCCCTCCCGGGACAGCTGGGAGGGTGCCCGTGTGCTGGTGGTGGCGGGGGGCTGGGGGCTCCCCCCGGGGCTGGGCAGCATCGGGGGGGGGGGATGCGGGAGCTGCTCCCTGCCCTCCCCGGTAGGCGTTTGCGGCGGGGACCCGGCAGCACCAGCAGGAACAGGTTTGGCCGGCCGGGGGAAGCGCTTTGTAGGTCAGCTGGGGTGGAGCCGGGCACGGTGACGCCGGGGTGCCGCCAGCCCACCCAGCCCCCCACAGCTGGGGGTGGCCTGGGTGCTGGCAGCGGGGTCACAGGCTGCCAGCCGGGCTCCGTGGGGTCACCTCGGGTGGGGGTCAGTGCCGCTGGTGGGCATGGCTGGGTTTGGGGCAGGATGGGGGGTTTTGTGCATTCTGGCGGTGCTCCCGCTCTCTCTGTGCCCCAGGAGGGGCGGCTGGGGGTCTGTGCCCCAGGAGGGGTGGCTGGGGGTCTGTGCCCTGGCGTGACACCATCCGTGGGGGGTCTGACTTTGTGCTGAGGGGCTGCTGGGGGTGCCCTGTTTTGGGCGCTGGCAGGGGACAGATGGCTGCCTCTGTCTGATGCCCGCTGTCCCTGTCCCTGCAGATAGCGAGGGGGTCCTTATGCACAACCCCATGAAATGAACAAAGCTCCACAGCCCACAGGAGGAGCCCCGACAGCCCCGCACCCTGCCCCTTCTCCCGGACTGCCGCAGGTAACCGGCCCCTCGGGGTGGGGGGAACACCCAGCTTTGCTCACCCCCTGTCCCGGTTCGTGCCGGGGGGCGGCGGAGTCATCTCCTTCCCTCCCTGCCTCCCCCCAGCCGACGTTCCCACCCGGTCAGACGGCACCTGTGGTTTTTAACCCGGCACCGACCTCACAAATGAATACGCCTTCTCAGCCGCGCCAGGTAAGGGCTGTGCCCTGGGTCGGAGGGGGCAATGGGGGGGGGAAAACAGCAGCTTTCTGCCTCCCGGCCCCCACCGCCGTGCCGCCTGGGGGTGTGAGGAGCCCCACGGTGTCCCTCGGGGCTGGCGTACGCCTGCGAGGGGGAGCGTGCCCACCGTCTGCACCACAACCGGGGACCTCCCGGCCCTGGGGAGGGGGATCGGATGTCTCCGGCCAGGGGTACCCACCGAATGACTGCTCTTCTCTCCTTCCTCCCCTGCCCCAAACCTCCCTCTCCTCCTCCTCTCAGTTTCCAGCAGGGCCTCGGGCTATTCACCAGCAGGTACTAACCCGCTTCCTCCTCCCCGCATGCGAGCCCCCTGCCCCGACACTGCACAGGAACGCCTGCCCCAGGCACGAAGGGACCGGGGAGCACCTGGGAGACCCCAGAGCTGGGGCAGGGGCTGGTCTGGGGAAAGCTGGGGACACCTGCTCCGCTTTGGGGGGGTTTTCCCCTGCAGTGTCTTCCACAATTTCCTCCTTGCATGAAGCCTGCGGCATGTGGCTGTGCCTGTGCTAACCTTGGCCCAGGCTGCTGCTTCTGCCTGTGCCCTTCCTCATCCTCCTCTTCCTCTTCCTTCCCACTTTGTGGGGGTCTCCCAAGGGCCGCACAAGGCTCTGTGCCTCCCTCAGCCCTCTCATGAGGCGCTGCTGGGGATGGACCTGGTGATGTCCTTGGCTGTGCCGGCTGGGAGCCCCTCAAACCCTTTCCTGCCCCTTGGGGGGGGTCCCTACAGGGGACATGGGCACCGGGCAAAGAGCCCCCCCCCCCCAGCCTGCTGTCCCCTCCTCTGCCAGCTGCCCTGTCTCCGAGCCCTGACCCAAGGCGGGTAACTCCTGTCTCTCTCTTTCCCCTCTCCCCTCTCTACGCGTGCACTTGCTAACAGGGAGGATTCAGGTCTCTTCAGGTAACGCTTTCTCCTTGCCCCGGGTTCCCTGCGCGCACCCTTCCCTCCCCCCCCGCCGCCGGGCTTGAGGGGATGCTCCCGCCGGGCCCGGGAGCCGGGCTGGGATGAAAGGCAGGGGCCGGGGAAGAAGCTCCCCCCCGCCCCCGGTCTCCTCGTCCCCGGGGCAGCCCGGCCCTGCGGGACTACATATCCCAGCATTCCCCGCGAGCGCCGGGAGCCGGTGCGGGGCACGCCGGGACCCGCCGCCGCCACCGAGCTGCGTGCGGCCCTGGCCGGCTCCCAGCCTGGGTGTGGGGGTGCCGGTGGGTGCCCCCCATCCTGACCCCGTCCCCCGTCTCTCCCCAAGCATTTCTACCAGAACAGGGCGCAGCCTCCCGCCAGCGCCTCCCGCGTGCAGAGCAACACGACGGCCCGGCCCGGCCCCCCCGCCCATGTGTATCCCGCCGCTTCCCCGGGGATGATGATACCCTCCCAGATATCCTACACGCCTTCCCAAGGAGCCTACTACATCCCCGGACAGGTGAGGGACCTCTCTGCCATGGGAGGGGGCTGGGGCGGGCACCCGTGGGGAGCATTGCCCAGAGTGGGAGATATGTTTTGGGGGGGGTGGAAGGGGACCCCCAGGCTCTCTGAGCCCCCACTGATGTGCGCGGGGTGTTGCCTGGCTCTATGGAGAGGTGGCAGGCAGGGCCTCTCCCTGCCCCCCCCCCCCCCAC